CCAGGATTAAAAAATCAGCATTTCTACAGACAAGGAACTGAAAATGAAGTTAATAATCCCATTTACAACCATTTACAATAGTATTCAAAAATAAAATATTTAGTAAATTAATCAAGAAAATAGCATTTATAGCCTGAAAAATATTAAATAATGAAGAAAATGGAGATAAGATAAACAGATATCTTGTAATGGGCTCGGGAGATAGTTCAGCGAGGTAAGCGCCTGCCTAGCAAGCACAATGACCCAGGTTTGATCTCTGATACCCTAAAAACTCTAGGCATGCTGTGCCGCCTAGACACCAGGCGTGGTAGCACATACCTATAGTCCCAGTGCTGGGGAGGCTGAGACAGGAGGATCACTGTGAGTCTGAGCTGTATAGCGAGACCCTGTAATAACAAATAATAAATATTTTTTAAATATCTTGTGATAGACTAGACAAATTAATATTAAAATGTCCATACTACCTAAAGGTGCTATCTCTATTAAAATTCTAATATTTTTCACACATAGGATCTTATAAAAAATATCTGAATACATATAGATGAGATATATAGATACCTGTGTATGGAGCCACAGAAGATCCTTTGTGCCTTAAGCAAAAGGAACAAAGCTAAAGATAATCACATTACCTAACTTCAAAATATATTGTAAAGCTATAATCTAAACAACAGGATACTGGCATAAAGACAAACATAGCAACTATAGAAAAGGACAGTGGCCAAGAATATGCCCATACTATGATCAGTTGACTTTCAGTAAATCTGCCAAGAATCCACAGTAGGGAAAAAGCAGTCTCTTTATTAAATGGCGCTAAGAAAACAGGCAGTCTACATGTGAATGAGTAAAACCAGGACCTTGCTCTAGCCCCATTCACGAATAAGACTTGATAGGGAAAATTGTCAAACAAGTAGAAGAAAACAGGAGGAAGCTCCATGGCATAGGCCTGGACACTGGGTGCTGGATAGGATTCCAAAAGCACAAACCACAAAAGCAAAAGTAGACAAATCAAACACATCAACATTAAAAGCTTCCACAAAGCAAGCAGCAGAGTTCAGAAACAACACAGTTTGGGGAAAAAATGATTATAAATCTTACATCAGAAAAAAGGTGGTTGTACAAAATATGTAAGTTACTCGTTCCAAAACTAGAAAATAAACAAGCCTATTAAAAATAAGCAAAGCATCTGAAGCAAAATTTCTGAAAAAAACACAGAAGGGCAAAAGTTATATAAAAAAGTATCAGTAATTCAGGAAAATGCCAAAAAAATCACAATGAGCTATCACTTCATACCTATTAGACTCATTGTTAATAAAGTAAGAGCCAGCATGTAGAGAAAGAAATCCTTGTATACATTTTGCTGGGAATGTGAGCACACTGACTTATAAAAAACAATATGGTAGTGACACAGGGAACAAATCATGTCAGGCAGATGACCTCCAAATGATAATAGGGGAAAAATGAAACTCCTTTCATGAAAGGTACCTAGGATGAGTTCATGTTCTCTAAAACTGAAGAATGAATTTTAGGAACAAATGGAGGTTATGAGCAGAATATATTAGGGGAAAGAAAGCTCCTGGCCAAGACAGAGACAGGAGGGGGACCCTGAGTGGGTGGTCCCTGGGAAGCTTTCTTGTCCAAGGACTTTTATAGAGGAAAAAACCATGCGGTGAGAAACTCGTTTAGGTGGACATGAGGTGAGAATGCTATGGTCAACCAATGAGATTACAAGCACCATTGCTTAGGTAAAATGGATTTAATCCAGTACCAAATGGGGAAGTGAGCCAAGTAACAAGCAGGCATGAATATGGGACAGGGCCTCTTCCTGTTGGACCTTGGGTTAGTGACTCAATTGGGCTCTTAAGATAATTGAAATTGATACCTATTTAGAATATGAATCCCTGATGTCCATCCCTAGGGAAGTATAGCTGTGTTTCCTCTTGTCTTGAGGTGTGGCCCATAAGGGAGTGTGTCTCTTCTAAATTGTAAAGTAATCTTGTCTTCCATCTTGTCTCCTTGAGGGCCTGGCCCTATCTGACTGCCTATAATATTTCTCTCTACTTCAGCTGCCTACAATAGTAGGGTTTCAGAAACCTAAAAGTAGTATTACATTTGATCTAGAAATCCCATTTCTGGGTATATATCCAAAGAAATTGACATAAATATGTTGAGAAAAGTGCCTGCACTCTTATGCATAGTAGCACCAGTCACAGCAGCCAGGAAAATGGGAAGAGCTCATGTGCTCATCAGTGGATAAAATTGTCACACACACACGGAATACTATTCCAAGCTTAAAAACATCATTTGCCACAACATGAATAAATTGAGAAAGTATTGTGCTAACCACAATGAGTTGTGCACAGAAACACAAATACATAAATTTCCACATGCTGGAGTCATAGTAGCAGAGAGTAGAATGGGGCTTGCCAGAAACTGAACAGCAGTGTTCTTATGGTATAGATCTAAAACGCCTCCCCCCAAAGTCTCAGGCACTCAGAAGTGGAGCTTTTGAAAGGAAACTAGGTCGTGGGGACACTATTCACCGGTGGGTTCATCCATGAATGAGTCTGAGGCTGAACAAATGAGTTGCTAGGACGTGGGACCTGGTGGGAAGTAGGTCATTGGCGCAGGGACCGGGAAAGTGTACTCTTGCCCAGGATTCTACTATTTCTCTTTGCTTTCTGGCCACCCTGCATTCAGCAGCCTCCTGGCTTGGAACCAGTCAGCCCTGCACCAAACCCTCTAAAACTATGAGCCAAACTAAACCTCTGCTTGAGGATGTGGTTGTCCAGTGTTGTGTCCAGCAACAGAAAAGCAGACTTACACAGGCAGAGACGATGAATGGGAAGAGAAGTGATGGACAGTGGTTAAAAGCTCCAGTTAGGAGCAATAAGTTCCTGTTAGCTATTACACAGTTCAGTGACTAGAGCTAATTAGAATGCATTATAGATTTCAAAAATTTGCTGAAAAACCAAATTTTAAATATTCTCACCAGGAAGAATGATGTTTCTCTTTTTCTTATGGTTTTCATATATTTTTGTTCTGGTTTTATATTTTAATTCATCCATTCCACCCCACTGCATTTCAAGATTTAGACCACTGAAATTCACTATATATTTTAGATAAATATATAGCTTGTGTAGCTGTTTTCATTGTGTCCTATAGTTTTAATATAGCTAAAATTAAGCTAGCAATTTTCCCAGAAAAATATTTTAGCAACTATATTTTATACAATGTTTTTGACATGGTTTCAAAAGTAATTCTTAACAGAAAGTTACTTTTATAATCAGCATCATACTAATTACAGAAAAAAGAAGGGATCAATGCACTAGTTCAATGATGGATTAAAGCAAATTCTTGACAATGAAACTAGATATGGAACACAAAATGGAATGAAAATCCAGAATAGGTGATGCTTTGGTCTGTGCGAAGTCTTTAAATAAATTAGATAGTTATCATTGATATTTCCTGCAGTGTTTGTGTCAGCCTTGTAAAAACTAGAATATACATTTGGATGATTCTATGATACCTATGAAAATCTTTCATAGGATCTTGAAACTGATACCAGTTACTGTTGTATATTTTCTCACTTCAACTAGTTTCTTCCTTTTACTGTGATAGGTCTTCCCCAAAATTAAAATTTTATGCTTTCACCTCCTATGAGCTGATTTATATATTGGATCTTAGGACACAACAAAAAAATCAATCTGACTATACTATATTTATTGTTAGACTCCTCATTCCTCTTGAGAACCTCATTCCCAGAGTTAATAATAACAACACAGTTCACACAAGAGATAACAGTAATATACTGAGTACTTTAAAAGGCTAGCAAAAAGTGTTTTGGAATTTATCATCCTAAAGAAATGATAAAGGCTGGTGAGATAGCTCAGCGGACTAAGTGCCTGCTTATGGTTCCATCCCCAGCACCACATGCCACACTGGCCCTACTGCTGAGCCTCCCACTGAGACAAGGTGTGATGGCACACGCCTGTAATCCCAGCACGAGGGAGGCTGAAAATAGGATCACTATGAGCCAATCTACGCAGTGAAACAATGCAGACCCTGTACTAAACATACATTAAAAAAAAAAAAAGACATGCTTAGAGTTTTTTTAAAAACATTAACTGCTCCTTTCAAAAGACCAACAGAAATTGACAATACAATTATCCAAACTATTTCCATATATTAACTAAATGTATCTTTTTTTTTCTTCTTTCATTTGTCCTTCTCCTCATCCCAGTTTTTCCTTCTCATTGAACAGTTTCTTTCCCTTCACAGTATCTGTTGTACCCTTTAAGGTAGGGAGATAGCTCAGCAGCTTAAGCGCCTGCCTGGCAAGCACAAGGTCCTAAGTTCAACCCCTGATACCAAAAAAAAAAAAGAGAACTTTAATGTTGTACCCTTCAGATTTTCATTACTCCTTCAGGTTCTCACACTAGTGAGATACAGTGTTTCCACATGTGGATCTGATTTATCTCACCAGTATAGTCTTTGAATTTCTTTTCTTCCTCTTTTGAATTCCTTATAATCTTTGATATTATATTGTTTTGCTTTTCTTTAAACAAAACTTACACGTTTCTGTCTGGTAATCTGAATAACTAATTTGAAGATAGCATCATATAATGCAGCATCCATCATTCAATTGATATTCTAGTGAAATCTTGTATGGTTTCTAATGCTGGTTTTTTTTTTTTTCCTATCATTATTTTGTATTCTTTAAAAATAATAAAATAATTTTAAAAGACATGTTTAGACCCTGGTTGGTAACCTAAATTAATTTTTACATGGGAATATAAGCATTCTTTTATTCTTGTGGGAGAAGTAAGTACTTAACCGGTATATTTTAAAGTCAGTTAAAAGAAAATAGAGAACTAAAGGAAATAAGGTCTTTATTCCAAACTGCCTACCTGGGAACCAATAGAACATCTATGATGAGTGCCACCAAGTGAACGTTTTTCTCTCAGAAGGCTACTATTTAATCAGTCTCTTATTTCAAACAGTGCCCAGAATGCTGCAGGATCTCAGGAAACAGGACCTATTGACAGTGAGGATGTCGCTGAGATAGAGTAGCATCCTCTTCACTCTAGAGTAAATAGGTAAGTTGGAAAGCCTTCTCCTAGTAATGAGGGCGAGGGGCCAGAGCAAAGTGATTATTAGTGCTTCAACCGTCGTCAGCCATTTGGGAATACAAGAGAGAGTCTCACTGGTGGGTATTAGATTATTAGGAAAATTAAGCAGATGGCTTTGGCAAACTATGCCTCCTCTTCTCTGCCAGGAAATTCTACTCAGGTTTATCTTCACATATGCTCTTTTTAAAGCCCTGCCGTTTTGAGGAAACAACTGCTGTGATCATTACAAACAGTGAAGAGATCACATCATCCAGGTTTTCCCAGAGTGTTAGGCAAAACCATTTTGGTTTTTTGGATCACTTCTAATCTGCCACGGTGGGTTCTCCTGGGGTTGTTTGTGCCTCTGGCTCAGAGGAAGAAGTGACTGCTTCATACTGGCTGTTTTAGTGTCCAGCTACTGTAAAATGGAGCTGGTATCCAACGTCACCACACAAGCAAGGGCAACCCTGCCTCATGTGTCTGCACAAGGAAATAATAGAAAACAGCATTTTCAAGAGTAGTGTTTTGTGTTGTCTAAAGCCCGTCCCTGTTGGTAACATTGTTTGTCTTTTAATTGTAGGTTCATTTGATTTATCAGCCAGTCTTGAGACACCTCACAAGTTTTACAGAAGATCTCATACAGATGTCTAATTAAGGCTATTAACAGAAGCCATGAAATTTTGCAACTTGAAAGAATGATGAACATTTAAGTCCTGACAAAAATAAACAAAATGAAAAATTCCTGGTGACTGTATGTCTCTTATTTGCATATGAACACATATATTTGAAGTACAATTAATTTTAAATCTATTACAATAAGCAAAAAAATGTAATTTTTTCAAAGAAGATATTCTGAATACTTGCCATAAAGTCAGCTCTATGAAATGTATTCGGGCTACAATAAAGAACAAGACAGATCACAGTCCCTGCTTCCAACAACTTTTGAAATGACAAGAAAGAGTGATACATAGATCACAATGAAAAAACGTTCTCTGTGAGTACATGAAGTCTCCCAACCACAAGAAAGGCAGAGATACTGGCAAAGCGCCTTGTGATACTTAAAGAATCATCACTTTACAAAGCACAAGGTAACATAACTGGCAGAAAGCTGACTTTCAGAGGAGTTAAGGTAGAGCTCAGGGTATAAAATTAGTTCTGTATGGCTGAGATGCCATCGGTAAAAAGAGAAGGGGGCCACTTCACCACAGGTCCTGAAAGCCTTCTAAGAAGTGATACTGAGCCCCTCATCAAGCCAGGGTTTTAAGGAAGGAGTGGCTAATACCATTTGCATTTTTAAAACAGCACTGCCCACCATGTTGAAATACATTGCATAGGTGTGGGCCTAGAAAAAGTTAAATATTCAAGGTCAAAAAGTGAGAATAAACTAAAACCAAGGAAATGGATATAGGGATGGAAAAAGGTTTTTTTTAAAGGAGAAATTCACATTTCTCCAAATATTTTATAAAATTTACCAGCTAAATCACTTGTCAATGTGCCTGCTGTTCTTTGCCTGTTCTACCAGTATTATTATAATATAATAACAGAACAGCAAAAAAGCAAACATGGTGTTCAACCTGGGTAACCAGACCCTTCTCTGCTCATTAAGTGTAGTGACACATGTGAACGCACACATACATACACAGTCATTTTGCCTTTAAAATGTTTATATAATGGCTAAGCATATTGATGCTTCAATTTATGCACAAAAAGAATAGTAGAAATTACCCTTTGAGTTGTTCTTTCCTCATACTGTAGGATTTGGGCTGGGCATGGGGTTCCAGTACAGAGGACTGAACCCAGGGCCTTCCAAGCAGGCTGCATCTCCCACCCTTTTAATTTTTGAGACAGGTCCTCACTCATTAATTGTTCCAGGCCAGCATCAAACTTGTCCTCCTATCTCGGCTTCCAGGACAATATGCTGGTATGCTCACAAATCTACCTGTGCTGCTGACATTTATACTAGCTGTCAAGGTGGCGATCATTTTGGCAAGGCCAGGGAGGACACTCTTCTGAGTAATATCTGTTCCACTATTAGTCAGTTCTGTTAGAGTTCCTCACCTATCAGGCCTAGTTTTCTAATACAGTTTGAAATATTATTAATAGTGAAATACAAAACCATTTTGTTTCTTGTACAGAAAAAAAATTGAAAGTAAAAAAAAGTTGAAAGTGTATTTAAGCTCTGCCTAACACCTTTTTAAAGATTTACTATCTTTTCATAAGGCCAGGAGTTTCCTATTTAAAAGGTCTTTTTATGTTCGTGACAGGACAGAGCCCTGCCTTACCACCCCCTCTCTGAAGCTTTCCTTGGTTCATTCCCATCCATTCTGTGGCCAACCTTTATCCTCACCTCTTCCCCGGTGTGAAAACTCACTTATTAAGGGAGAAAATAAACACTCATCTGTGTTTCGAAGATAAAAGAGTACAGATGTGCAAAAGAGTAAGGAGGTTCATGGGTTCAATGTCTATTTCCCAGACTGAATTTATGGTTCAGGAAACAAGTAAATTCCTATTACACTGCCTATTTGTAAGGGAGTGACCACCCATTACTATCTGTTGAACACTCTATATACACACTAAGTAGGGTTTTAAAACTTTACAGTGAGGTGGAAGTAATCTGATCTCACGTTTCCATGTAAGAAACAGGTAACAGAAAACTAAAGGAAAAAAAAAAAACGTGCGTAACTTGTGCTCTGCAGACGAAGTGGTCTGATGTTGCATTGCGCTGGGGACACTGAACATTATGCTACAGGAGGTTGCTGACAAAAATCTGCTCAGAATATTAATGTGATTTGGCCTTAACCACTCTCTTTTGGTCATCATTTCTTCTTACCCATCCCACTTAAGTAGCACTTTACCATATAAAATTGATGCCTCTTTTCAAATACAAAGATAAGCCTAACATTTGTTAGACTAAAACTGATCAAATACAATAAGTGTATTACCACTTCCCCACAATGAATGAACGTATTATGCATTCTGAAGGTACATTTACAAAAAGTTTTATAAAAAGCCCAACATTTGAATTCACTGGAACATACTGTCAAGAACTGTAAATGGTTTGAAATTTTTATCCTGCATAGAAGCTAACAAATTAGGATGCCAGTTTCATGCATGAAGGTAGACCATATCAGATTACTCAGCAGAGATTAAACCATTGTTTATTTCAAAACAATAGAAGTAGCCAGATACAATCGTATTTTGTTTTGTTTTGTTTTTCTGGTTTCCTGAGTGACAACTTCCAGAAGGCAGAACCCGGGGTCAGGGTACTGACACCTGCATGTGAGTGGGTTGCCTTACAAGGGGGAGAACTCTATGCTATATAACAGTAATATTTGAGAATGGACAATAAGTATGCTTGCCTTTTGCTCTGTAGAGAAACATTGTTTATTATGCTAAACAGTAAATATGCCTGTCCTTTTCTCTAGAGGGACAAACTATGTCTACCATGGCGTTCTTGTAAAAATGTACAGAAATAAAACCTGGTGCAAAGATGCCTCCTAACAATACCTGCCTCCTCATTTCTGCACTGTTCTAGCTTCGGATAAATTTTCCATGTCTGCAACTCCAGCAGCCACCTTGCTTAATTTGACTGACAGTGGCTGTGACACATCCTTTTAATTTGTGTTACATAGAATTTAATTAAGACTATTATCAACAGGACTCCAACACAGCAGCAGTGCTCTGAGTGATGACCCTTGGGATCCCACTCTTCACCAGTTAAACTAATCCCATAAACTCTCAGTTTCTACACTGGCCTTTTCACTTGGCTCAAGTTATTAATCCATTCTTCCAGGCTATATTAGCATTTGCACCCACTCTGCGTTGACCTATAAGCAGAAAATCACGGGCAGTTGTGCAATCTAAAACAACCCTGTCCAGTCAGCTGAAACTGATCTGATTGTCTTCCAGGGACAAGTTGGCATCATTGATCACTTTGGCTAGAGGCAGAGAGCAATTTATACAAATATTTCTAATTGGAAAACTCTCAGAGTACAGATAGTTTTCTGCAGATTGCACATAAATGTTGTGTCAGTTACCCTGCAGGGAAGCTCTTTACATAAGCGAAGGAAAGCCTCATTCTGCAGAGACCTTTGAGATCACCTGAGGACTCTCTTAAGGCCACCTCAAATGTATGCAGCCTCCTGTTTTCAGGCAAAGGTAAGAAATGCCTGATTTCACAGGACAAGTGTCCTTCCTGGGAGGCCAGGTGGTGGGAAGCATGTTTCCTCAGTGAAGAAACTTTATACTTGTGAGGGTACCCCAAGGGGTGCCCGTGTCAGTTTTGTGCAGAAGTTCCCAGGGATTCCAGTGTTGCTTCGCTTCTGGCTGCTGTGCCCTAGCATTTTCAGTTCAGTTTGAAAATATATTCAATCCTTTCTGGGATGGGGGCACAAGTTGCATAATTTCCATTAGTCCATCTTGTCTTTTCTGTTCGTGCTACCAGCTGAGTGACATTTGCCTGCCTCACAGAATGACCCAAAGTCAGCTGATCAAACTAGAGTCAGACATCAACCTAAAAGCCTATGCAGAGAAGTAAAGCACCACTGGTAGCCTGGAGGGGATCAGAGCTGAATGGGGTGAGTCTTCCAACAGCAATAGATTAGGAAAATACCTCAAGCAGTGTGGCCTCCCTCACCTTGGGACAAGCTGTTCTAGTAGGAGTCACAAGTTCATTACAGCGCTTGCCTCTCTATGAGAAATACTACAGGGTCATTTGCTCAGTACCTGGTCTATGGTGGTGTGTTGCCATGATGGGTACAGGGATGGATTCTAGCACCAAGGGTGACAGTCTGGTTAGTAGAGCCTTACTCAGCTCCTTATTCCAGTTGGTCTCATCAGAGAAGAGAGTCTTACTATGCATCTATGTGAACAACCAGACATTTTAATTAGTGTCTATTAAGTATTTTCCCATTTCTTGATGCAAAAGAGGGCCATGTGTAACCTGTCATTCTTTAGTTTTCCAATTGATATATGAAAGATCCAGGCCATTGGAAACAGACTGTGCCAGTGCAACTGTACCAAAGTTCATCAAGGATTGCAAAATCCAGAGGTATGAGCTTGGTCATGGGCTATGCACGCTGAACCAAACGAACTGCACTCCTTTCCTGCAGACCTGCCACTGAGATGACAACTCAGCCAAACACTGAGTGAGACAGGACCAGGTACACCAGAGGACACTGTGCACTGAGCGTTCCCCTGAGGGCACTGCTCAGCCTCAGGTGGAAGAAAGGTGACATGCAATTGGCTATCAACCTCTTTTACATAAAGTTGTTGCCAGGATAATGAGAGGCTGCTGCATTCTTCAGTACAGGCTTTCCTTTGGACTGCCAGTCTTGTTGCACCCTTCCCGCCCTATTAGGTATTCTGAAGTAAATGACCCATCTGAAAATGGGAATAACAGACCAGAAGAACACAGGTGCATGGAGATCATGTGTTTTAATGAGACCAGTAACTGCTTTGTAAATATTATACTGAATAGTCTTGTCAAGGTGATAGGGCCAAAACCCAAGGGACATCTGGATGAAGGCGGCTTCTCTTTGCCAGCAGCTTAAAGTAGGCAAGGTATTGGCCACCGAAAGCAGACTCTAAGATTATAAGAAGTCAGAATGGAGCGCAGGTCTCTGCTGGAAAGCCTCCAGTGATAAGTCGGGGTTTGGGCCCTGTACAAAGTTGGTGATTGTGGGTTAGCTCATGTAACAGAGCAAGGAGAAT